GGGATTAGAATGGGGGGGGGGGTGTATTATGTGTGCGGGGGGATTTGAATGGGGGGGGAGTCCCCTATATTTCAGGTGCGATTAGGGATTCCTTTGTCACAAACTTGCGTTTTCCTGCAGTAGGAATCCCTAATCTGGCATTTACATGCAGCAACTGTCACCCATTCAAGTTAATGATCAGGTGACAGCCGCTGCATGTACACGCCTGCATACAGCATGTAATCGTATGTGATATGATTACATGCAGTTACAAAAACAATCGCTATCCCTGGATACACAATTGTGTATTCAGGGATAGTGATTAATTCCTAACTGCATGTAATCCTTTCACATATGATTTACATGCGGTGTGCAGGCGTTTAAATGCAGCAGTTGTCACCCGATCATTTGAATCGGTGACAGTTGCCGCTTGTAACGTGCATACATTAAAACTGGTACCGTATATAGTAGCGGCCCCCACAGGACTAAAAAATGTGTCCTGTTGCCCCCGACTAAATTGAGTTTGAGACCCCTGTTCTAGATGGATATTGTTATTAGGGGTGGGATATAACTTATGGAATTTCAGTATAGAAATCCATATTTATTTTTAGTTTTTGGCCATAGATGCCCTTTAATTTGGCATTTTTATTCTGTGGAGCTAGACAATAAATGATATTTCTTTACTCCAAACCTGTTTTATAACTACCACGTTGGGAATCCTCAGCTGTTACTATGTTATATCATTTGAATGATGAATCTTGCTTATTTCAGCAAAAAACGAACTTGAATTCTGTTGCCACGTGTTGCGGGGAACAGTTGACCCAAAGGAACCTGCTACATATGAATATGTCAAATGCATTGGAAATTTCAAATCTTTAAATAATGGTAAGTTACACAGTTCCTGGATGAATTGGCAGTACAGCTATTGTGCTTTCTAAATGCATCGTTTGTGGGCTGCTTCATTAAGGGCTTGTTCATACCATGTCTGGACCAGTGCAGCATGCACTATTTGTTTCTGGAATGCACCAAAATGCATGTAAATGCATACACACTGGAACACAGCTGAAAGCCCATTTTAACACATCGGACCGTGGCTAAAATGCACTGCGTTTGCAGATCTGCTCCAAATCTGGTCCAGACATGGTGTGAGCATAGCCTTAGGCAGACTCGGGGGCAAAGCATAGTAACGTAGAGTAACCAGCCTGATTCCAGTCGATGGTTGTAGCAGCAGATAGATTATTCCTAATTGTTTTTTATGGGGAATTTCTCTTTGCTTGCACCATTGTTTGCATTTTTTTTCCAATAAGCCCCCTATATTCCCCTGTCAACAGTATTCCTTCAATCTGTTCATCTTAACTGGAAATTACCGCAGTGTCTGGGTAAATGTTTAGCATGTATATTGCTGTACATTTTTAAAACCCAACTCCAGCAAAAACATTTGTTTTGGATACAGAATTAGGACCTTTTATAGGTTTTTTGCTGTCTGTTCAGGTGATTTCCCTTTACCTACTGTGATAGTGGGGTCACAGGGGAAGGAATTGATCGAAAATCTGTTTCTCAGTGGGGACAGAGCATTAAAAATGATTTTCTTGATAGTAAAGTGGTGAAAGGATTAAACCTTAGTGAGTTATCTGTGTCCCTGTGATCCCAATTCTCTTCATTTCTTGTGTTGATATCACATGGATAAAAAGTAGGGGAGAATCTCCCCGGTGTAGTCACAGACAGCAACATAAACCTGATAGACTGATAGTTCTCCATTTTGGTCGAAACCACAAAAACGTGTGGGCTGGAATTTGGCACAAAGTGTTCAGGTTGTTTGCAGGGTATTGATATGTGGAATGTATAGGAAACACTATTGAACACAAGTGCATTTGAGCCAGGGCTTTTCAGAACAATGCACTAAACATGGGTGAGTTGCCTTGTTTATCTAGCCAAGAAACAACTGACTCTTTCACAGATCTAATATTTGGATTGGAAGTTTCACTCCTTTGGTGGCAAAAAGGGCCACTCACACCTGACGAGTTTAAAATACACATATTGTGCAAATACATACAGTGCAGAAAACGTACCAGTATTATTGGAAGCATTTCTGGTTATCTCTTTTTTACTTTGCTTGCTCAGGTCATGTGTCAATCCAGCCAGTTGAGGAATTCAGAGATGTGAAGACAGGTCACTAAAACTCCAAAATGCAAAGAATATATTGTTTGTTGCAAATAACGTCACATAGGTAAAAATTGCCAATGTTTTGGGGCCACAGAGTGACGCCTTGAGGAAGGGACCCTGTGCGCCCCCAAAACATTTGGCAACAATGTGACGTTATTTGAAAAAATATTTTCTGCGCATTTTGGAGTGCTGGTGACCTACCTTTTAGATCTCGGAGGTTCTGCAAAGCGCCATCGGTGGTGGCCACTTCGAGCACCTATCTTATCTACACTGGTCACAATGCTGTATGGTGTGCAGCAGGCATTTTCAACAAGTTGAGGAATTCAGACATTCTTTGTTTGTTTCCAGTGCCCAGTTCTACACACAATGGATTTGATGCTGCATTACAGAGGTCTCTCAGGCCTGCATATGAAGAGAGAGTCTGCTTTGTAGCAACTGTAAGATTAGCTACACCTCAGTTTATTAAGGTAAAAACTGTATATTGTAATCATTGGTATTAACACGACACCACACCTCTGTGGACTTTGTGTGTATGTGGAATAGATTTAAAGCAGAACTAAAGTTTCTTTTTGTCATTGTAATTCAATTTGTATGTGCATATATACTTGCAAATCTGTGTTACCTTTTGCATTATCCATATTCCTTCTTGCGTAGTCTATTCTTCAGCATAAGTGGGAGGTAATGAAGGAGTGCTCCCATCTGAGGAAAGTGATGTAATCGTTGCCTCACAGGAAGTTCTCCGTTCATTGAAGGACACAGTGGAGATCTTGAATCTCTGACCATTAGGATTAGTAATCTAGGCCGCAGCCTTGGAGCTGAAAGCCGCAGCCGCCATATTTGCTGTGTGCCTCTGCCCTTCCCTGATGTCATCTCCCAGCCTCTGTAGATTCCTGTGCACGCTGGAGAAGACGGTACCTGCTCCTGGGGATCAGAGCAGACTGCCGTGTTGTCTGCACAGTTTTCAACTATTGTCATTATGGATTAGTTGGTTGGATCCCCTAGCTCTCTCCTCCATGCTCGGAGGAGGGCACAGCAAGCAGTGGGTGGGTGCAATAGCCAGCCTGCTATTGGCTATTGCAATTTGAAATGGCCAATTGCAGGCTGGGTATTGCACCCGCCCACTACCTGCTGTATTTACATTCAGCTGCCATCTGTGGAATCTTGCCACTGCCATCTGTCATTCCCTGGCTGAAGCTATTCAAGTGCCAGGTGCTTACAATAGAATTATTAAAACAATAATATAAAAGGTGGAAAAAAAGTCATCTTCGATTTCGGCCTGACAAATTCTGCTGCGCGAGGTGCGTTGCAGTGCCATTTATTTCAGTGCCACCCCAAATGTGCCTCCCACTGACAGTGTGATTGCCTGCACTGGAACGCACTACCACAATGCTGTGCGTTCCAGTGCAAAAAAAATTGTGCATGCAGCTTTATTCTGAAGTAAACTCTGTAAGACTGCATTTGTGCATTTTATTTTAAATTAAGGATGGTATTTATACTTTTTTTTCTTTTAATCCGATTTATCGAAAAAATAATCGGCCAACTAATCGATTATGAAAATAATCATTAGTTGCAGCCCTAGTGTGCATGCATGTATTTTTAAAAATTTCCTATTTGAGTATTTGCATTTTAAAAAACACTTAGGTTCTTCTTTCCGGTTTTAAGAAGGGTGTGCTGTGCTTGAAGGAAGACCTTTTCTCCACACCACTATACACCAACTAAGTTTCTTAGTTCTCTGTAGGATCAATTCTTTTTATCATTTGGGCAGATGGGCTTGTAATAGTGCAATTCTATCCCTAGCGAATCCTTCTCTTTTTTTGTCATTTGTTTCTGGACTCTTCTGTGCACTGATAACTTCTGCCCCTTATGCAAATATGGGAGTATAATGACATTCTAAGAGGCAGGTGTGGTCATGAAAAATAGGTCAAGTAGCCATAGAGAATCCCAGGTCCTGAATTGTGCCCGGAAAAGCCACAAGACACATACTCTAAAATTTATAAAGGGTGTCGTAAACACTCTTTAGCGTTCTGGTTTGTTTCCACATGACAAATATTGCGCTTGCGTCAGATACATGTACGTGAATTTGTCATATGTAGGCCATCACTGAGGCCATGGACACTCTGTCCTCTGTAAAGCTCAGTAGCGCTGGGCTAAAAAAAAAAGACAGGCTCAGCTTTACTCTGCTCTCTCTTGGCCACTACACCTGTCATACAGGCAGGCGCAACGGGCAAGAAGTTTTGCTATCGCGCAGTTGGAGCCTGATGGGGATTCTGAAAGACTAGGTCCACCTACCTTGTGATGGACTATAGTCAAATCTCATAACTTTACTTTCTGTGTACAATTTTCACATGTTGTGTTATATAAAGTTATATTTCAGTCTTTGGGTGTTTGCTCTGTTTATATTACATATATTACATATATTATATATATTACACTAAAACCAAAGTATTGGCTTTAGAAAGGAGCCAAGACCCATGTGCTGACCCTTAGCCCCTGGTTGTGATTGGCTGTATTCATAACAATGAGTACTTGTATTGTAGTTTCCTATAAGATACATCTCTGCTGCATATTGTTACACAAATATGTTGGTCATATCAGTGCTGTATGTAATCTACCAGGAAATGTGCACTGTCGAGGAGCCTAATGAGGAGTTTACATCCAGACACAGCCTAGAATGGAAGTTTCTCTTCTTGGACCACAGGTCAGTGCTGATGTTTGTTTGTTGGTTCCTTTTAATGGTACTTCCTTGCAGCTAGGCATAAATCATTGCAGTCTCTAGTACATTGCCAGTGGACAGAAAAAGCAGTATTCTTCCAATAAGCCAGACCACAGCTGGAGATTGAATGGATTTTATGTTTCTATTTTCGTCTGCAGCTTTCTTTTTATAATCGTAACCTACAAACAAAACTTGATTGCAGAGAAGTGGCTCTTGACACAGCTAGTATGTGTGTGTGTCCATGTGCAGTGGATGAGAGCCTTCATGTTCTATTAGCAATGTGTGTTATGGGGCTCTTAGCTGGTTCTCTTACCTATTCTGAGTAGTAAAAAATAATCCTCATGGAGCATTAAGTCTGCATTTTGTGCTGAAGTGAGTGATTTTATTGATGCGCTTTTTCAGCGTTTCTTCATGTGATTTATTATATGATCATCTATGAATGGTATATTTGAAATGTGTTCAATGTTGTAGAGTACAGCAGCTTGAAATATGCACGTTTACTGCTGACCGCTAAGAAGATATATATACAGTATTTCTACAACCTGCTTTATAGTAAAATCTAAATAAGAAAGCATACCTCTTGGGGGTGGGGGGCCGTCAGCTGTAGAGTTATATTGTGGAGGTTCGTATTCATGCATTAAAGATTGCTGATTATTGGATTAAATATTTTCTTTTAATTGATCATCTGTTTTTTAGGGCTCCTCCTATAATAGGATATCTACCTTTTGAAGTGCTGGGTACTTCTGGATATGACTATTACCATGTGGATGATCTGGAGAATCTTGCAAAATGCCATGAACATTGTAGGTGACCTTTTACAGCTACAGTTCTAACTAGAAGCAATTATGATTGTAAGGAATACAGGGAAACATGTACCTTATACAGACTGTTCCTTGTAGGTCTCAGTGAACTACAAATTAACATGATTTTACTACATGCAAACAAAACACTAGTATAGAAAACCTACATGTGTTTATGAACACTTGCTTATTCCCCTTCATATTTTAATCTCGCTAGACTAGAATTTATCACATGAACCCTGGTTTTCTCGTCCATTGAAGGTGGCAGAGAATATTATACTATCGGGTTATATAGCCGCCTACAGGAGGTTTGGACACTGACAAAATCTGAAGGCCAGCTCAGAATAAACCCTCTTCTACCCAGCATGCTTGAGTTTTTGCTAGCATCCTAATGGGATAGACTTTTTTTCTTCAGCCTTTTACATTGTGATTATAGGGTCTACATCATTGGAGTTCCCTTAACTCCATTGGGTGAGACAGAGTCCCCTGCCTTGTCATCAGGGGCCTCTACTGCAATCACATGACAAATTAACCAATTTCCTTATGGATGCTGAGTGCAGAGGCGCTCTAAGCAAAGGCTCCCTGTGGCCCTAGAAGATATCTAGCCACTGGTTGCATTGACCATCTCTTAGTCAAACTCACTCCCCACAGTCTCTCTCTGATGAGATTGTTTGTTTTTAGGAGCTGCTGTCTCCAGCCTTGGTTATTTTAGAGCCTTTACGGTTGCAAAGGCCTTTCTACTACACCCATTATTCAAGGTTTTCCTCTATGCAGATTGCTTTGGCTTCTGTTATCCTGTACAACCTTTTGGAGTTGTGTCGCATCTTGGCCACCACTCCTATCCCTCTGAGAAATCTTCTTCCCTTGGAGTATGTAAGGTCATAAGTGTTGACCACTGACCTGCATAAAATTGAAATGAACTTTGGTGGCCCTCCATTCTAACAAGATTTCCAATCCTCAGTGTTGCCTATTCACACCTGGTATGCTCAATGGGGTTTGGGCTCGTAGTCCGTTCTAGTTCCTTTTCTTGGAATCCGTATTGGATGCCAAGAAATTGGGATACATTTTGGGATACTCAGACAACCTTCTGTGAAGAGAGCAGTCACCGTGAGTTTGAGCAGACCGTTTCTTGAAGGGCTATAGGCCTGCACGATCCTGCCAGGTCTTGCTTGGTTTTGGTGTTTAAAATTGCCCATCCCCTGTAGGCAATGCTAACCAGTATAGCTCTTTGGTGGAGGAGTCCACAGCATGGTTACCCTCAGACCCCTTGTCATGAGACGGGGCGTTACCCATCTCTTCAGTTTTGCCGGGTGATCAGGGGCACCTCCCGTTCTACCATCTCTTCTCGGTGCATCTCAGCCCCTTATGCTGTCATGGGTCTAGTTCCTGAGTAGTCTTTCGGTGTCTGTCTTTTGAAGGATAATGTTCCTAGAATGATCATTCATCTTCCCCATCAGACATCTACCAAGGTATTTTCTACTCATCTCCAGGGAGTTTCTCCCATTGGGGAATTTTCATCTCTGGGGCTTTCTCTAGCGTTTAGATTTGGGCACTGCTAGATACCATCTAGCTACTGCTCTCTTTTCAGTCAAGAAGGAACAGGAGTCTTGTCTGCATCAGAAGAGGTAGTCTGATTCTGGTTGTGGATGTACCGTGGGTCCCACCCTTACCCAGTCTAATCCCCCTGGGGACGATCCCTGGAAACCAGTTATTCCCAACTGGGTGCACCTCAGAACCGGTGTTGCAGGTGAAGGACATTGGAGGAAGGCTCTGTGTTTCTGCAGTTTTATAAAGAAGGCCCTTCTGGTACTGTTCCCTGTCCTAAGTAGAATTAAACTCTCCTTTGTTTTTGCATAGCAGGTAGTGGATGTATGCAAAAACATTTGAAAAAATAAAAAAGTTACCAGAAGGTAAAAACGTACCTGTGGCTCCGCTGCTCGCTCCCGTCTGAAGATCTAAAGCTTCATCCTGCACTGTCGCTCGAGATGAGGCGGGTGCATGTGCAGTAGAGATCTTCAGCGGGGAGAAGAGGAGAGGCATAGTGGAGGGGAATGCACGAAGCCAGGAGCATGCATTTCGGACAGACACTGTGGGACAGGAAGAGACCGCAGTCTGTGGTGGATCAGAGACCAGCGTCAGCGCTGGAGGGATTACTGAATACAAGTGGAAGGAAGAAGATGATCGGATCAAGAGGCATCACTTAAGGTAAGTCTTTAAAGCAGCATGGGCGGGGAGGAAAACATTTGTGACTATTATGTCACTTTAATGCGAGCGAATATTCTTTGCTGCCCTGATGAGACTCCTGTTGGATAGATGCTGATACGCTGTTAGATTTGGGGAGTCTGAAGCATTCTTAGTCCTGCCACTCTTAGGGCTCATCCCAGAGGTGCTTCTTGTGTACTGGTGAATGTGTCTAGCTTCATCCTTAGCTCCATCAGGGTCGTAACCCATCTTACCAGTTTATGGTTAGGCTCTAGTTCTCATTTCCTGCATACCCATGTTGAGGTATTTCCCGTGCACCTTACCACTTGTGTCATGCTGACTTGGTTGGATTGAATCCTGGATTCTCTTCTGTACTTAGGATTCATTTTCACACCCTTTGCAGGTTGTAGTTTCTAGTCCGTTTCAGGGTTCTTCCCTGGCAAGTCTTACCTTGGCAAGGGACAATATCTGTGCTGACAATATCTCAAGGTACGCAGTTATTATTTTTTTCTTTGAGGGGTCAGGTGTGTGAAGGCCTAGGGCTACTTACCTAGACCAGCTGGTCTTGCCCTTAAAAGGATTTTTTCCTGGGTCCCTTGTCCCTTACTTTACCCGTTCCCACTCAGGACTTGTTTCCTTCCTTGTTAGCCATGTTTGTTTCTTGGAATTTTTTCCTTCCCTTAACAGAAATGTGTTATTTTCTGGGCTGTTATCCTGGACTGGCCTTTGAACTTTGTTTACCTGTGTCCAATCCTCCTGCAGGAGGCAGTTTAACCTGAAAGTATATTGCTTCCTGTGTCCCTCAGTAGACTCCTAGAAAAGTGTTTTAGGGTGAGTACAAATCCTATTTTAATAGCCTTAAAGTAGAAGTATTAGGAGAGCAATGTATACTCTTACCAATACTTAGAGCCGGTCTTAGACACTGCAGCGGTCACAGGCCAGCTTTATATATACCGAGAGATGAGCGTTCATGCAACCGCTGATCACTCAGCTCACTGTCTCCTACCTGCAGAGAGCAGTGACTGTCAGTGATTGCCATCTCCTCTCTCTGTTCCTCCAGCACTCATTGGAGGGACAGACGGGGTAGGGGGGCGGGAACAGCATTGTCAGGATCCTTCCCGGCTGCAGCGTGGCTCTGTGCTTTCAATATATAGCGGGCATTAGCCTGCTATATGCTGACTTTAGGTCACGGGATTACATTAGTAAAGCCAAAAGCAAATACAGGAGTGTAAAGTAAACCAAACTTCTGGAAAATATAAATGGCTAAGGTTATTTGGCCTGTAGGTCCTCCTGAATGTACTGCTTGGTAATGCTGATGATCTATTGATTTTTTCTTTAGTGATGCAGTATGGAAAAGGCAAATCTTGTTACTATCGTTTCCTCACAAAAGGGCAGCAATGGATATGGCTACAGACTCGATACTACATCACCTATCATCAGTGGAATTCTAGGCCAGAGTTTATTGTTTGTACACACACTGTAGTAAGGTAATTGCACTTAATTTTTTGTTCACAAGCTTGGTCTATGCAGGCTAAATTTTAAAATTGTGCATTGTCACATAGGTGCTTGCTGTATGTCTGGGCTCTGAGGGCACCATCTCCAGTCCATTGTATAAATTGCTATTTCATTCATGCAAACTTTTGTGTAGATATTAGAGGTCCGAAATAGAAATGTAAAAACCGAAATGAAACTGAAATAGAAAAAATTGTCTCCCTGATATTTCCCTTTTAAAATAGAAAAAGAGATTGATGACTCTGTTCTCAATCTCTTTTTCTGTATCCCCTGTTATCAATGAACAGGAATCCTCTATACTGAGTGTTCCTGTTCATTGATAACTTGAGAACAGAGTATGTTTACTATATCCATAATTATGAATGAACAGGAGTGGATATAGATCACTCACTTTCATTCATAATTGAGGATATAGTAACCATACCATGTCCTCAATTATTTACAAACAGCAATCACTGATCGCTGAGTGTATGTAGCCTGCTCTCCTCTCTGACACACGCTGTCACAGGAGGCTGAGTGAGCGGTGCGAGAGGAGAGCCCAGCCTCCTGTGACAGCGCTGTGTCCGCCCCCACACCGCTCTGCCGCACTGTGATAGGCGGCCGAGCAGTGTGGGAGGAGATACACCGGCCGCTCACAGCGCTCTTGTCCCGCAGCGCTCGGACGGCTGTCACTTTCTCTCCTCCACGCTGGGGCACGGAACAGCGCCCAGCGGGGAAGAAAGAAATCACGGATGTGCCGGCAGGAAAATGGCACTTTCGGCCGATATATCAGTGCATCCCTGGTAGATATTATTTTAATTTTTTTATGTGTTTTGTGCAGATATTTTAATTTTTTTTTTAAATGCCATTAAACGTACATACAGTTATACACTATGTTGATGCCAACACTGCCTGAGACACACTGCCTCTCCCTATGCACTTATAAACATCATGTGATTCAGTGTAAACAAGTGAGGATATATTTTCTTAATGGCATTTTTGAAGATAATAATGTGTTTCTCATGTAGGTATGTTTGTAGCGGTATGAATAATATACTGTATCGTGACATCACAATTACATAAATGTATGTGGAACATACACGCCTTACTAACATTTGGTTTGGTTTAGACTTTATTTCTTGTTAATATTTGTAACATTAATATTAAATGTATGCATACATAGATTCATAAATAGCTGGCAACAGAGGCCTTGCAATATATACTCCAAAGTGCAGAATCTTTTTTTTTTGCATTGTATGTTTAAAAAAACCAACCTGTTATTATAATTGCTCTAAATGCTGAAGGGGTGATGTGTTTTTGCAGTTATGCAGAGGTTGGTGCAGTGAGAAGGCGAGAATTGGGTATAGAAGATTCACCACCTGCCATCATCTCAGATAAAGTGAGTCTCTCTTGTTTTACATATCAGAAACACCACTGATGACTGGGCAGTAACCTTGTTTTTTAATGTTTCTTGCTGTGATATTACATTTGTCATAATATTGTGTCTTTTTTTTTTTTTTTAAAGACTGTTACCCTGTGAAAAAGTGTTAACATGACTTACAAATTGGAAATACTTATTAATTTCAGAACCAAGACTCTGTCTCAGACAATCGCATACATAAGGACAGCCTAAAGGATGTTTTGGAAAGGTTCGATGACAGCAGGACACCGTCACCATCATCTAAGAGTTCCATCAAGTCATCGTCTCACACAGCTGTGTCTGATCCATCATGTGAGTAGCTTCAGAGGGCCCTTTGAGCTTGCAGGCAGTACCTAGTTTTGTGTCTTATTGGGCCTGTTAGCATAATGTGTGTTTGCTGTATTGCCCACCCCTCAGTTGGACTAATTCTGCAAGTTCTGAAGTTGGAAGACTTCCGGGTGTCCCTCAATAGATGGGAATGAAAATATGATTTTTGTTCTCACCGTAAAGTTTTTTTTTTGCTGTCAGTTGAGGGACACAGGTCCCGCGCCTCTGTGTTTATGATCATGCTCTCGGTACTGCTTTGCTACAAAACTAAGGCATGCTGGTAGTTGGAGGGTTTTCCTGTGCTACTACAGTATTTTTGTTGGCCAGTGTCAAATCTTCCTGTAGGCAGGAGTGTAACCAGAAGCTGAAAGACTTCCTGTGTCCTTTAATGGACTCAAAGAAAAAGGTGTTATTTACAGCATCATTGTGAGAAGCAGATGTTGAAATATGTAGCCTTTAAAAATGAATCACCATTCCCTTTTATATCTAGAATTTACCTTGTTTTCATTCCATTGAGAATCTCTTATTGACCTGAATTGGGACTTGCATACATTGTTTAAAAACATTGAAGAATCACTTTTTAGTTCCAGAAATTGTGCTTTTTAAATGTTGCTGTAATGCACTAATATATATTTTAACAGCGACCCCTACTAAGATTCCAACTGATACCAGCACCCCTCCACGACAAGCTTTATCTGGTTTGGACAAGAGGAGGTCATCAATTAGCAGTCAGGTAAGCAACCCTAAAGTGTGACTTTTTTTTCTTCTCTGTTTTACCATCAAACATATAAAATATACGTTTTTTAATCTTATTTATTTCGTTGCATTGGAAAATTGTAACTGTCTAATGAGGAATATGATTTAAAAAAAACGTATTGTTAATAGAAACTCATAAATGTTTGTCCACCTAAATTGATATTTCAAGTAAACTGGTGGGTTGAGTCATTGGTTAGCTTCTTATATATCTTGGATTAGTGCTCAGTGTTCCTGGCTCTGTCTCTGTCCCTGTTCACATGCCTTTTGTTGCATTGTCCATATTATAAACATTCACATCAGGGAGAATGGGTTATCATCACAGTGACTTTGGGAGATGTGAAGATCTTGTCACTGGATTCCTGGAGATGTTATAACAAACCATTAGGTAATTTTACTCTCGAGCATCTATTAAAAAACTGAAATATTAGGAGGGCCATACATCTGGCGCTCGGTTCCCCCATCCACACTAAACAGAGCGGATGGGGAAAACTCCCCTGTTGGGCCAGCGCCTGTGGCTGTCAGAACACCCGAACAGTGACCAGCTGTCAATTTTTGGCCGAGCTCCTTCAACAAAAGTCTATTGAAAATCAACTGTAGTTAAGTATAGTTGTACCTGCAGAGACTCTCACTGCTCGAAAATCGGCTGAGTCAACAGGACTTTGTCAAACTTTTAGCAGTGTATGGCGAGCTTTAGTCTTGGATGCATTGTCTCGTTTTTATTATACAAATGTTCCGAATAACAGCAGTAATTTGTTTTTTGCAGTCAATGAGCTCTCAGTCCCTTAACCAGTCGTTAACACAGCCAATACAGAAGCAGCAAGCTACTGCCATCTTACAGCCTGGGATGACACAAGTGAGTATTATGGGCACTTTGTTGTATTGCTAGTTTTATCTGTTTACTTGAATAGGTCTCAGTGAGCTTAACTCCTTAAGGACGGAGGCAATTGTCCAAGTTCTGAATGTAAACACAACATAGAATTCGAGCTATATGTCTGTTCAACCATAATTTATATTTAGTGCACCCACACTTATTATATATTGTTTTTTAGAGGACAAATAGGGCAAATATTTATAAATGAACTGTAATGATATGGGAATAAAATCTATCCAATTAGGGGAAATGAAGACATTTTCATTTTTTTCCAAACATGCACAACACATTTTATTGGGAATATCATAATACTAAAACGTTTTATTGCAATAAAACACCCATAATTGTATTCTACAATGTCAGTCCTGAAGGGGTTAATTTTTTTTAAATAAATAAAAATGGGTAATGTTTAATAATTAAAAAAGAAATGCAAAAACTGATCAGCGCTGAAGGGGTTAATTAAAAACCACAAAAACATTGCTAAAAATAATTACAATTAACAAAAAAATAAACAACACAATGCAGCACAATAAATCTGAACAGTATTATTGTATTGATCAGAGTGTTCAATTATAAAACTGATCAGCAATTATGGGGTTTATTTTAAATTGTATTTTTTTATGTTTTTTTTTTTTTTTTTCTATTACTTTTGGAACACTTTGTAGCACTTGGACACTTTGTAGCACTGATCTACTTCTCTCGCCTCATATCACACTGAGGAGAGAGAGAGTCATTGGCTGTTACAATGTATCACTGATCACAGTGGCTGCTCGTCACTGTGATCATGTGAGCCGAATTGGAGATTGTCTGAGAAGCCAGTTAAGTCCCTGCATCGGATCCCGCTGGGCAAGTATAACGGAGAGGTGGGGGGGGGGAGGACACAGAAGGGCTTAGAAGGTAGGATGCGCCATGCCATCCTAACGTCTTTAAAGCCCATGCCTCCAGGATGATATGGAACGTCCTAATGTCGAGGAGAGGTTAAACCACAGCACATTTACTGTCCTACTACATCTCCATGCATTACCTAGGTTTAGACAAACATTGGAGCCTGTCCTAGCACTTGCACATGTCTCTGCATCTTAATATACTATGCTTGTCTTGTGTATTTATTTAGCACCAGTCTCATGTATTTTTAACGGTCTTTGCTGCCTCAAGTAAGTTGGCTTCCCTAATGCGTTTTGATAGTAAGATTGCTGGTTTTACTAACTAAGCTAAGTGCGTGAAGGGTCTGGTTCATTTTTAAACAATTGGTATATTTTTCTTAACTGCAGCCCATTTTTCAGTTCACGGCACAGTTTGGAGCCATGAAGCACTTAAAGGACCAGCTGGAGCAAAGAACACGCATGATAGAAGAGAATATTCACCGACAACAGGAGGAGCTGCGAAAAATTCAGGAACAGCTGCAGATGGTCCACGGGCAAGGCTTCCAGGTGAACAGCAGTGCTAGATACTTGGTCTTCACCTTTTGACATTTTTTTATGACTCCTACCACACTATCTCATAGGCAGACATCAGCTGCATTTTACCTATAAGGGTGCAGACTCCAGGCTTGAATGCCTAATCCCAATCCATCATTTACCAGTTTTATTAAAATAAACCAAACTGTGTCATATAGCCTTTGATGACTCGACAACTACATCGATTTTCTACTGGCTCTCATAAACACAGGCCTGGTAGTTATGGTCATCAGGTAAAGAGAAGTGTTGACTGTAAAAAGTGGATAGGAGCGTTGGTTTACTCTGAAGAAAAATCCAATATCTTTTCAGAAAGGCTTTTTTTTTTGCATACGTTTTTCAGTGACCACTTATTCATGGAGACATACAATGAAAGCCGAGCATGCCTACCATGGGTCAAAGAAAAATCATTAGCAAAGATTTAAAGTGGCCTCATAGGATAAAGAAGAATCAAAGTAAGTCTACACAGTCGCTTAGGGTTTAAGTCACTTGATTTGTTGCTGAAGCCCCCGACATTTCTAAGCAAGTTTTGTTTTTTAGAGAAAGGCCACTCAAACACCAAGGACTGCTTTGTTCAGGCATAGAGGCAGTATGTGTTTGCCCCATGCCTGGGAATACCAAGTATTTCTGGGGGCCATGGCATTGTATACAAGTGGCGAGGTAGGAGTAAGAGAAGGCAATGTATGGGGTGCAGTAGCAGGCTTAGCTTGTTTTGTTTCCCTACAGATAACCAAAAATAAATAATCTGAATCGGATTACCTTTAATTTGTTAGAGGTAATCACACCAAAATTGCCTGTTACGATGTACATGATTGAACACTGGGGGCAAGAGCACCTCCATCCATAACTGGTGTGGTTAAGGAATATTATAGTGCAATGTATTGTATTTTTATATGCAGTATTTGATTCCATATTAGAATGTTTTGTTTTTCTGAAGATGTTTTTGCAGCAGCCTACGCCTAGTCTAAATTTTGGGCCGGTGCAGACATCCTCTGGAAATGGCTCCAACATGCAGCAACTGCCACAGTTTGCCATGCAGGGTCAGGTGGTGCAAACCAACCAGCTGCAGGGAGGCCTGAACACCAGCCACATGGGAGGCCCCCACATGCTGCAGCAGCAGCCTCTACAGAACACCAGCCAGGTAAGATTACATTGTTGTCCTTGTGATTTACATATTCTTTTTTTCTAAAATGATTTCCTTGTCCTAAATTTGCTTCCAGACAAAAACAAAGGGTTGGGTACCAGTAGCCTTATATTCATAAGTATTTTGGGATAACATTTTAGAAATGGTCACAAAATACTCAAGGTAATGGGAATTTAACAAAATTAAACTTGTCCTCCAAGTTGTCCTCATGGAGGAGAAGGTTGCCCTACCCATATATGATTTTCTGTCTTGCCACACTGAGGAATAGTGCAGCTGATCTCCACTTGGTTTTATAATGACAGCTTTTACATATACACTCATGGTATATTGAACAATAAGTCTGATTTGCATGAGAAAAAGATGTCTTCGGGTTTTGCACGGCAGTCTATTTATCAGAGTTGTCTGTACAAGCCTTTCCTTAAAACGGCTTCTATGTTGCAGTTGGCAGAGTGCTTTCCTTGTAGACTTTAAAAAGGCAATAACTCCAGGTAACAAGTGAAAACCTTAATTTTATGAGATTAAATGTACACTTTATGTTGCTTGCCTGGACTACTACCATAGAAACCTGATTCTGTGCTGTAGTATTTGTCTGTCTGTCTGAGTTCCAGTCCTGTATTTTCACATTGGTTAGCAACATGTTTTAAGCACTGAGGTGGGCAAATGAACTACAAAAAGGCCTAGATGAAAACTGAAGTCCTGGGCAAGTGAGCCAAACCAGAAAGGAGAAATGTTCTGTACATACCAGAATTCTTCATGCACCACGGAAACAGAGGTCAAATACTTTTTTCCAAGACACGACTTAGCTGAAAGCAGGCTTGATAACACCTATGCAAAACTACATTATTGTGGTTATTCATTTAGCAGTGACATTCTTTCACAAACTGAGTGCTGTATATTGGGGTAGTTTAATTTTGTTTTTTCAGCTTTTAATCCATTTTTACAATTTGGTGCTTTTGGATCGGGTAAAATCACATGCTGTCTTCTATTTCATTACACATGTCATGTCTTGTAACAAATTTTGTTTGGGACAATGCAGATTTTTGGCACATGGCATGGGAATGCTCCAATGTAGACTGAATATAGAAGTTATAAACTCTGTCTATATTCTTTACTATTGTGTCATGACATCATCTTTTTGGTATCCTGGAAGAAGAAATATGAAGTATACATATTTAAAGAAGTATTGTTTCTGGGTAGATCATCGGTTGCATTAAATTGGATTGCACCATCCATAGGATTGTTGGAAAGTTTGCAAATGGATGGATCCCATAGGAGAGAGTGTTCATGAAAAATGGAGGATATTCAATATAATCCAGAAGATATTGGGGTGTGGCATGTCTCCCCCCAAAAAATTAAAAGAATATTCTCATGCATCCTGTCCAGAAATTGCTGCAAACCCTTCACCCTTTATAGTTTTTTAAAAAAATCTGTATACACACACGTTTTCTTTTTAAGTGTCTTTCTAAGTGTGTTCCTCATAACGATGTGACACTGCTCTCTCCAGCATTCTCCTGTGAGTCCAGGGCGGCCTGACGACACACCTTCAGGAGCAGGTGCTTGACATCCTGGGCTAATGGGAAGTGGGTTAAATGACCCTGGGTGTCATTCAGCCTGGAAAACAGACAGGCGCTGGATCACAGCAGGGAGTCTGTTGGGAGGATTTGGGGATGGTGCTGAAAATAGGATGAGTATTGTGGTCTGAGCAACTTTTTATTTTATCAAAGGTCTAGGCAATGGGATTTATTTTCATAACTGAAGTTGGGCTTTAAAATGCACCTTTTAATGAGCGAAATAAGTTAACTGTCATTTCTGAGCTAATTCTAAGTCACACATCCTGGACAAGCATGCACCAAATTAAAGAAGGGGAAGATTAGAACTCTGGAGCTCTATACTTGTTCTGGGTTGGTGTCTTAGAAAGCCAAAGCATCAGCATGCTAGCCAGGATACTAGAATTGATAGAAGATAAGATCAGCATTTTTCTCTTACGGTGGGAATAATTTAACTACTGTGACATATTATGCATCTGATTATTCCATTCTATACCTTCTGCTAGACCAAAGTTTTGGAAGTTATATACTGTATTAACAAAAGTATTGGGACGCCTGCCTTTACACGCACATGAACTTTAATGGCATCCCAGTCTTAGTCCGTAGGGTTCAATATTGAGTTAGCCCACCTTTACAGCTATAACAGCTTCAACTCTTCTGGGAAGGCGTCCACAAGGTTTAGGAGTGTGTCTATGGGAATGTTTGACCATTCTTCCAGAAGCGCATTTGTGAGGTCAGGCACTGATGTTGGACGAGAAGGTCTGGCTAGTGGTCTCTGCTGTAATTCATCCCAAAGGTGTTCTATCGGGTTGAGGGTTGAGGTCAGGACTCTGTGCAGGCCAGTCAAGTTCCTCCGCCCCAAACTCACTCATCCATGTCTTTTATGGACCTTGCTTTGTGCACTGGTGCGCAGTCATGTTGGAGCAGGAAGAGGTCATCCCCAAACTGTTCCCGGGGAGTTGGGAACTTGAAGTTGTCCAAAATGTCTTGGTATGCTGATGCCTTAAGAGTTCCCTTCACTGGAACTAAGGGGCTAAGCCCAGGCCCTGAAAAGCAACCCCACACCATAATCCCCCCTCCACTAAACTTTACACTTGGCACAATGCAGTCAGGCAAGAACAGTTCTCCTGGCAACCGCCAAACCCAGGTACGTCTATCGGATTGCCAGACAGAGGAGCGTGATTCGTCACTCCAGAGAACACGTCTCCACTTCTCTAGAGTTCAGTGGCGGCGTGCTTTACACAACTGCATCTGACGCTTTGCATTGCACTTGGTGATGTAAGGCTTGGATGCAGCTGCTCGGCCATGGAAACCCATTCCATGAAGCTCTCTACGCACTGTTGTTGTGCCAATCTGAAGGCCACACCAAGTTTGGAGGTCTGTAGGTGCTGACTGCATACAATTGGCGACTTCTGCGCACTGTGCGCTTCAGCATGCGCTGACCCTGCTCTGTCATTTTACGTGGCCTACCACTTCGTGGCTGAGTTGCCATTGTTGCCAGTTGCTTCCACTTTCTTATAATACCACTAACAGTTGACCGTGGAATATTTAGTAGCAAGGACATTTCACGGATGGACTTATTGCACAGGTGGCAACCTATCACGGTACCACACTTGAATTCACTGAGCTCCTGAGAGCGACTCATTCTTTCACAAATCTTTGTAGAAGCGTCTGAATGCCTCGGTGCTTGATTTTATACACCTGCGGCCATGGAGGGGATTGGAACACCTGAATCCAATGATTTGGAGGGGTGTCTCAATACTTTTGGCAATATAGTGTATATTGGCATAAGTCATTTTATGAACCATAAATGTTTTTGTTGTAAAGATAGCGATTGTTGAATTGTACTGCAACATATTCCACTGTTGTATTATTCACAGTAAAAACGTTTGACTAATGCATGTTTATTTACATAATATACATAAAGTAAAAAGAATTGTGTATTGTGTTCCAGCAGGGACAGCAGAACATGCATGGTGGGCACTCTCAGCAGACATCTATGCCCAGCCAGCCACCGGGATCACTAGCTGCTCCTCTCTACAACACCATGGTGATCTCACAGCCATCTACTGCTAACATGGTACAAATGCCATCGAACAGGCAACAAACTAACCAAGGGGCTGCTGTTACCACATTTTCCCAGGACAGGCAAATCAGGTAATTATGAAAAAACGAGATACAATGAAATGAAATGTGCCATTTGATTTCCTTATGTGATTTACTTTCAGTTGAAAAGTTAATACCGGCTTCTTCATCTAATGCCGCATGGCTAAAGGATATTACTATGCTGCCTTTTTAGAGTATATGTTGTACCTCAGACATTGAGATTACTTCCATATGAATGCACTGAGTGAGCAGGGGCTCTTTTCTTCATCCCCCAAAAAATGAGTAATGAACAGAAAAATATCCTGCTGTATAGACTAGTACTGCTGGAGGAGGATTGTGTTTTTTTTCCTGCAACTGCAGTATATGTGAGGTTGTGGGGTTGCTGAAGTTTAAAATGAGCCATTTGGTGCTCGTTTCCTTTTCTCTTTAGTTCCTCTTAAAAAAAAAAAAGAAAAGAAATGTAGGATGTAACGTGCAGCCTTTGTGGTCAGCTTTATGTTACATTCACAGAGATGCAGCTAGAAAAGCTAAATGCTATTTGCTTATAAAAGCCCACTGCACTAGTCTTCTCTGTGGGGAAGGTTTGATATATGTAAGCATTAAATAAGACCCTGACAAGCTAACAATAACTCTCCATAAATCGCATCATTACACTGAGCTCAAATACCTCTTTTGGCCTTGCGGTCACATGACGTTGCCTATGGACTTCTGCACCTTACTGCCCTGTAGTTGGGCAGAGATTAGTTTTAATTTGTGACAAAGCTCTAAGCTGTACCATTATATGGAAGAACACATCTCTGGCATCTCTCTAGACATGCATTATCTTCCCTGTGTGGTGCAGACTTTAGCTGTGCAATCTGCTGATTTAGTTCTATCAGACCTGCTTCTACAACAGATTCCACAGCAAATACCTCAAACACCCAGGGACCAGGAGGGAGGAACATGTACATCTAAAGGGTTGTTGGGGATGTGTACTTTCATATAATGCCCCGGCATAGAGCAGAGAATGGTTTCTGCCAGGGAAAACTGAAACATTACAGTGAGAGTCACAATGCTGTAGGAGGAGGTTTGGCTGAAATAGCATTGAGACTCTGAATAAGGAAGTAGAAAGAAAAAAAAAGGATCAAGCAAGTATTTACTATCTAAGAATATCATAATGAAAGAAATGTTGAGCACACGGTAAGAGCAATTTAGTGCCAATGACACACACATGTTTTGGATTCTTTAATCTGCTCAAACACTTTACAATCTGAATGTGAGGTAGGGGAAATAGAAAAAATACACAAAAATAATATACATTTGCAGGGAAACGTACACAGTTTAAGTTGATGTTTTAGTGTAAGCAAATATGAAGAGGGGGAGGGGCATTGTGATGAAATAACATTGTGTTTCCCTACTTTTATATATTGTATTATACTGATCTTTAAATACAGATGGGATTATAATCGGGGGAATAGTTCTATAGGCTGACGTATGACTTAAAGAATCTTGGTTAGACGTTATGCTAAAGCAAAGCATAGCTTTACCTATGGTCTGAAAGGGAGTTTGTCACTTGAGAAATATGAAGACTACCATTGCTAACCTCCTTCTGAAAATACTTATTGCCTTGTGGTAATGCTGATTAGGGCTGCAACAACTAATCGATTAGGAGAATAGTTGGCAACCATTCTCATTATTGGTTGGTTGGGGAGGGAGAGATATTTTTTATTTTTTTTAATGCAACCAATCGATTAGTTGAACCAATAATCGTCCACTAATCAATTATGAAAACAATAGTTAGCTGCAGCCCTAAGGCCCCACTAAGCGGATTGCTGCACGATTTTGCGTTTTTTTTTTTGCCGCACGATATCACGAGAAGTCGTTGGCCAATTATTTTCAATGAAGCTGTCTTAATGTACAGCTCCATGTCTCCCGTCGCTCCTACAGGACCCTTTTTTCGGCGGATTTTGCGTGATTTTTCTATTTTTCTTATGCAGCCCAACGGTGAAGGTGGCGCTACCGTCGCTGGAACGTCGCGCTATCCCAGCCGCGCGAATCCGCTCCAATAGGTATGTCGCTTAGTGTGAATGGGGCCTAATGCTGATCCAATGCTGATTCAGTGGCTACAAGTCAGTGAGAAGTGAAAACTCCTGATTGACATACTTGCTCTGGGTTAGGGATTCAAAAGGTTTTATAACCAAAGTCTCAGCATGACAGCCAGGGAACTAATATTTTCAGAAGATCAGCAATGGCACCCTGTCATATTTCTCTAATGACAAGTTTCCTTTTATCCATCACATTGGGGGGAATTTATCAAAACTGGAGCAAACAATCTGGAGCAGTTGTCCATGGCAACCAATCAGCATCTCTCTTCAGTTTGCTCAGGTAAGAGTTGAAAATGAGAGAGAGAAGCTGATTGGCTGCAGTTCAAATCTGTTCCAAAAATAGTCTGCTCCAGTTTTGATAAATTCCCCCCATTATACTTGGAGAAATTATCTCCAATCTGTTCCCTGTGTCCTTCAATGAACGGAGAGAAAAGGATTTTACGGTGAGTACCAAAATCCTATTTTCTTGGTGTTTCACATTTATTTTAATACCTCAGTAAAATATGTGTCTTGCAGGTTTTCCCAAGCTCAGCAAATAGTGACTAAACTGGTGACCACGCCAGTGGCTTGTGGGGCGGTTATGGTCCCCAGTACCATGTTTATGGGCCCAGTGGTAACTGCATACCCAACATTTGCTACCCAGCAGCAGCAAGCACCACAGACCATTTCCATTACTCCTCAGCAGCAGAACCAGCAAGACCAGCAGCAGCTCCCATCTGTTCAGCAGCAAGCTCAAGCACAACTTGGACAGCAGCCACAACAGTTCTTGCAGGTAGAAATACTAGTAGAATTTATTGTTACGAAACCAGAAAAAAAGGGTTTGACCCCTCAAACAGCTACAATGTGTAGATTTATATCCTTGTAGGATATACCCATACCTGGCAGAAAACCTTAATGAAAGTCGTTTCTTTTCCCAGACATCATGCAGCATGACCACAGTGCTGCAGTTCCAACCCAAGATCACTGATCATTGCAGTCGCGGGAAAGATTGTTTTAAAGCTGAACTTAGGCAGATATAAAAATACAAATGAATGCAGTTATGTATTTAAAAAATCATAAGGGGCCCATTCACATTCCCATTGTATTCCTAGATGCTTTTTGAAATGAAGAATGGGATACATTTATAAAGCAAGAATAGAAAGACTGTTAGCAGTTTACAAGAAATGTTAAATCCAGAAAGCAGTGATGGAAGCTCGGCTCCATCCAAAATGATATTTCAGGTTTGAATAAAGTGAGAAAAGATAAGAACGTCTGTCAAGGATTACAATTCCGCTTCTCGGTCAGCCAGACCAATGTCCCCAAACTGAGTTGTTTCTCTCCTCAGGTACCTCCTTAACCCCTTCAGGTGTGGCTCTTTCCTACCTATCTATACAGGACTTTTTCTGCCACGTCTGAATTTATGGGGAACTGTTAGCCCTGTTAGAGTCCTTAGACCATAGGGGTTGCATGTGAGCGGGTGCCCCCCACTTGTCAAACTGGAGGAATGTCTGTTGGCCATCTAGTCCCAGGATATTTTAGATGCTTATTTTAGAGCATCACATCCAGGGGCTATGAAATTGATTTTTTTATCTTTGCCTCCACTGCGCTTCATGCTGTCAAATTTGCTGACATCTCTGCATGGGCGGGCAGACCTTTATGTTGCTATGGGTCCTAAGGTGCTAAGGACCCATAGCTATTGTCTGGGTAGAGGGAACGTCCCAGGGTTTCTATTCAAATGTGTTCACCATCCCCAAGGCGAAAGGAGGCATTTGTCCCATGCTGGAGCTAAAGATTCTAAACAGATTCCTTTGGGTTAAAAGTTTCCATATGGAATCTGCCCAGTCATTGCTTCCCTTAATCTTGGAGAGTTTCTGTACATCAAGAATGCTCTTTCCGACACATTATTGCCACCTGTGTTCTGCTGTGGGCACATAACATTTCCTATTTGTTGTCCTTTCTTTTGGCCTGTCCACTGCACCCCAAGTCTTCACCAAGGTGCTAGCTCCTGTTCTCCCTCTGCTTCTCTCTCAGGGTTTCACCATTTTAGGATACCTGGATCAGCTCCTGCAGAGCGAACAGTCAGCTCAGGCTCTGAGCTAACAGAGATTCGGTTGGATTCATCTCATCGCTGGGAGTATTTGGGCCTAATCTTGAACATAGCCCTATCCAGAACTTTCCGACAAGCTCCAGACTATCTGTTTCCACGTTCAGGCCCTGCAGTCAAGAAGCCGCCTAATCATTCTCTTGGTTCGACCCAAGGAAATTCCATCCCAGGAAGTTCCTTTGAGACGAATACTGTTTTTTTCCACCAGCCTTAGCCTTAAGTGCCTTCAATGGTCAAATCTCCACCTCCAGTGGTCCTTTATCAGAGACCACTCTCCTCTTACTCTTTAGTGAAGGTCTTTCTGCAGGATTTTGCTCTTTGTTCCTCCTGTACACTCCACTATGACTCTGTGGCATCTCATCCTAGTCCTGTTGGTATTTTAGAGTCTTTAAACCTATTAGCCATATCCTTCTGTTTACCCTTGCAAAGGCTGTCTTCGTTGTGCAATCACTTCTGCAAAGCATCTTTTCTTTTTTTTTTTCAATTCTTTATTGACTGAGAAAAAAGTCATATACAAAAAAAAAAACATTGTATGTGATTACAGAGTATGGGCATAGATTCCACAGAACTCGTAATAAAACGGATTACTCCGCATCAAGGTAACATAACCCGACTGAAAAATAAAACACATCCGAATAATCATGCTTAGTACAGCTAAACAGCTTAGTACAGTCGTAGGTGCGTCAACCGTCCCATTCAGCCGTAACAGTTCTGTACATGAAGGCTCTACGACTAAGTACTATTCTCGAGATAAGACAATGTCTCTTGGTTGAAGAAAAGGTAATAGCAGAAAAAAGTGGGAAAGGGTGCAGAGGGTCGGGTCCCGGCCGTGTCCCACGACATCCACCAGGGTCCAGGCGTCCACAAAAGTCGAGCGCCCCCTTAATCATTCCCGGGGCTTACAAACCCTCCAAGTTCCTCATGGCAACCCCTGGGACAGGGTCCCGGTCAAACCGGCTTGTGAAGGTGGAGGGGAGTCCCGGGCAGAGATTCTATAGCACAGCCATGGGCTCCAGGTGGCATTAAAGCGAGCCTCCGTGTTTTTTAGCGTGGCAGTTAGGTCCTCAAGTTTATATATATCTTGGACTTTGGAGAGCCATAAGCGGACTGAGGGTGGGAGGGGATCCCGCCATCTCAGTAGGTAAGGCAGGGGAGGAGGTATGGGAAGAAGAAGTAGGGGGGGGGGGGGAGGGGGGCAGAAGCCCAGGAAGGAAACAAGGGAGTAGAGAGAAGCCAAGAAACACAACACACGTTATGTAAAGGATAGTACTAGTCGGGTAATCTAAATTGTAGGTGCAAAAAACCCCCTTTCTAAACGATCGTGGGAAACCTATGTGGGGGTGGGAACCCGCTAGGGTAACTGCACAGAAAGAAACCTTTATAAGGCCAGGAGATATTCCCCAAAGCATAAGGGTCATTGCTACATAACCCTCATTCAGCATGTAAGCATACACAATCTGGAGCCATAGGAACAGGAAATTAGTTAACACACAAAAGAGGTCACTTCCGCGGCATGGTGTAGAGCAGCTTAAATAAAACATGGGCGGGTAAGCCCGCGTGTGGTGCATAAGCAGTTTACTCACGGTTCGGCGAGGGGGTGTCCCCATACGGTCCGTCTGACCCCCCCCCCCTGCCCATACAGCGGAGGGAAATAACCAGGGGGGGGGAGAGAAATCCCAGTCAGCGGGCCCCACCGGTACACGAGCCCCCGTCGAAGGCCACAAGCCAGGTGTCCAGGGCAGCCTGAAAACAAACAGAGGAAAGTGATAACGGGTGTATAACAAATTCACAGGCAACATTAGCAATATCAACAACCGACATCAGCTAGTAGGCCCAACCCTCCCCCCGTCTGTAAGTGGGATCGGAGGGGTGTTCGTATGCTGCGACGGCTCGGAATCTCAGGGATCCCCTCCCTGAGCCCGTCCCCATCAGGATGAAGACCTGAGGACAGTTGCGGGTGAGTGTTATAAACGGTGGTCGGGAAGGGGTCCAGTTGGAGCCAAGGTAAGGGTCCAGTCTCCACGGCTCATCCTCCGGTGGGACCCGGGCCAATAGATGGGTTAGGGCTCACTCCAAGTCGGGTCCGAGCGTGGAGAAGGTCTCCTTGCAGGACGTCTGCAGCCTCGCAGGGGTGCCGAAGCAGACCGTGGCATGGGTCCCATCGAGGAGGAGGGACCATGAGGGAAATCCAACCAGCTTGGTATCGCCACTGCATCCGTTCCCAGAAAGTTGAACAGGTCTGGAAGCTGATCCGGAGCATGGAGGGCAAAGGAAGAACCATTTAGTTGGATAATGAGATGAAAAGGATGGCCTCATCGATACGTCGCTCCCACCGCTCGGAGCATATCCAAGAGTGGTTTCAGGATCCGTCTCATCCGCAGTGTGTGGCGAGAGAGGTCCGGCATCACCTGGATCTGCGCACCATCAAACTCGACTGGGCCCTTGTTCCACGCTGCCCGCAGTATGGATTCCTTGACCGTAAAGAAATGCACCCTGCATAGGACGTCACGAGGGGCACCAGATGGCTGGGCACGGTAGGTCTGGATTCTATGGACCCGGTCCAGTTCGAGTGGGTCAGTAGGAGGCTTTTCCAGCAGAAGGTTCAGGACCGTGGTCACAATGGAGCGGAGATCCGCGCCAGAGGATGCCTCCGGGACACCCTTCAGGCGCAGATTGTTCCGTCGGCTCCTGTTTTCTGCATCGTCCTGGTGCAGGAATAGTGTGGTCAGGCGCTGCTGGGTCTCGCCATGGACACCCTCCAAAGCGGTAATACGCTGTGCCAGCTGAGACGTAGACTGCTCTACAGTGGTGACCTGGGCTTCTAGGCTGGTGACCCGCTGCTGCACAGCATGTACCTCCTGCCGCAGCGCTGCCACGATTTTCGTGGCCATGTCATCCAGATCCCGCTTCGTCGGGAGCTGCTGGAGGTAGTGTCTCCAGTCGTCGGGCTCGCCCATAGCCGAGGGCGCTGTAGGCCCGGAGGCCTCCGGGCCCAGGGAGCACTCATCATCAGGGAAGCGGGGCGTGAGGATGGGGGACGAGGGACACCCCGGCCGGGATGCCGTCTCCCCCGCGGCCAGTGTCTGTGGTACCTGACCTG